TTTTTAATTTTTTGCATAATATAATGAGTGTTTATTGATCATGGAGCTAGAAGCTCTTATTAAGTATATGCTACATTTTTTATGTTTCCCTCACAATCACACTCCTTTCAATTTTTTTCAATCGGGGTTTTGACCACTGATTTAGAGACTCAAAAAAATCTTGTGTAGAACCTCTCAAAAATTCCTCCTTTTTTATTTTTCATATTATCCATCAAAATCTCTGGTTTCTTGGTAGCTCCAAATCCTTGCCAGGCATGCACTGCAAGAGGTGACTTAACATCAATGCTTCTATAGGTTTGCAATTTCAAAGGTCTCATCTATTTAACTCTCGAATGGACATTACTCATCTAACGATTTTCAATAATATTGAAAATTTTAGTAATTTTTCTTGAAACTGACAGGAACATGTCTAATGTTGGGGGGGGGGGGGAAGCAGGTTATTTTCAAACTCCCTGTGCTAAGTGTAATAGCACCACCTCAAACTTGGATGAGTGTTATCAGTGGATTCTCAAAGATACAACCCACGTAGAAATTCAGGAGATCACAGCAAAACATAAAATTATAGCCTTTTGAACAATGAACAAATTCCTTGGAATAACAAAAATAAACCCATGGCCAAAGTGCAAAACCACGTATCTTCATTGCTGTATTTCAAAATTTCGTTCATATTTTATTTCTTCCAAGAGAATAAGCCAACCCCACAGCTTGAACTTTATACAGAATATTTGCCAGTTGAGAAAAACAAATCCAGGAAGTTTTCAAGAAATTACGTTGACTAGTTTCCCCCCCAAAAAATTAAGTATGATAGGAAGGTTGCACCTTTGCAAATGGAGGTGTACGGTTCTGCATTTTGGTCTTTCAATTTTGCTTTCATTTTGAAAAAATGTTGGCAGTTTAAATTTTATGACTTAATCATAAGGCCAGGGCCAGAGTTACCAATTTTGGTAGCAGGAGAAAAGCAGGTACGGACATTAAATTGACTCTCCTCTGATTTGCTGATCCGCCTCGTACGTCACTGGTCGGTATGGAATGCTTGCATATAGGAGCTCTGTCAGTGTGCTGCTAAAAACGGGTTGACTCATGGTCTGTGAAGGGTGGTGAAATGATGCTAGGTCCACACCATTTTGCAGGAAGAACGAGGCCAAAAAGTTCCACAAATTTCAAATATAGTCAAACATTTTTCGGCTTTAATGAGTACCAGTACAAGATTGGTTTTTGTATATAAGCTCTGTCAATGTGTGTCAGAAAAGGTCTGCCTATCTTGTTGTGCCTTGTCACAGTTCGAGGACTTTCTTCTCACGATGTTTTGCTGTAGCCATGAGGTACGTCTGTACCCTTTTTTTTGTACCTTGACACTAATTGGAAAATCAACAAAATCATTAAATCTATCAAATACAGTTAAAAGCTTTCAGCAGCTGAACTGTAGCTTTCCAGTTAAAAACTGCAGTACAGCTTTCCATACCGACCAATGACATACAAGTCGGATCAGCGAATCAGAGGAGAGTCAATTTAATGTCCGCACCTACTTTTCTCCTGCTACCATAATTGGTAACTCTGACCCTGGCCTTATGATTAAGTCACAAAATTTAAACTGCCAAGATTTTTTCAAAATGAAACAAATTTTGAATGACCAAAATGCAGAACCGTATACGTCCATTTGTTAAGTTGTTTTTCTATTTAACTTACATGGCCCGAAATCAGCTGTTAATGATGCCATGTCTGCTGAGTGTTGCATAAAATGTTTGCCAGTTAGGAGTGCCTTTATCTTCTGTAATTTTTTTTCTGTGAAATCTTGGTTCATTTCTTATTTTAATGACTAAATCTATTACTCCTCGCTGCTTCTCTTGAAGTGATGGGGATTTGCAAAATAGGCATCACAATTATACTCTGGGTTTTTTCCCCAGTCGAAATGATCAAATAATTTTCAAAAAAGAGAAAGTGTAGTCTCAGGAAGATACGAGAGTACAGGTGGAACTTTATTAATAGACTCAAAGTATGCAAAAACCGGTTTGACTCTCTATAAACTTTATTCATCCAATAACTTTTTTTACGTTAAAAAAAACAACTTCTTCATAAGACATATCTGAAAAACACTAACGGTAAACATGTGTCTGGCTTCGTGTAGAGCAAACTTTTCGTTTAATTTTATTTAATGTGAAAAATTCAACCAGTTTTTATTTAGAAAATCCTTTACGATTTCTCTTTATATTTACTAAGAATATTCTCTGATAATTTTATGTGAAAAAGTGAGCTACGGCGATTGAGGTATATCTATGTATTCCTTCTTTCAGCATATGTGAGCAGGAAGAAAATGACCCACTTTGGGTTGATTTTTAGAAAAAAGATTTTGAATTTTCATCCCTCACAAAACATAATGGCCGATTTAGTTTTCAGGATTGAATTTTGAGTTTTCACACATTATAATGTGTGATAGTAATGAGTTGATACGAGGAAATTTTGACGAAACTACTCTAAACAGCTCCTAGCTCCATACGTACAATGTTTGAAAATGTGAGCGGGTTCCTTTCTGCTCACTTTGGTCCGACTATCCTGTCTCTAACTTCCCCAACTTTTTTTGTTGAAGTAACTTCTTCGATTAACTGTATGTGTTTACATTTCTGAGTAAAATTCTCAACAAAGTCAGTTCCTGCAAGGTTGTTATCTTCTTATAAACTGTTTGCTTTTATTCTTCGTTAAGTTTCACCTCAACCAGTTTAGTTTGTTTACTCCTTCTTTTTCGTTATGATCACTTGTTCTTTCATTACTGACTGCTTACTTTTAGTTTTATAATTTTAGCATTATTATTGCCCCATCATAGTGTATTTTTACCTTCGTCCCGTATGATACTGATTTTGTTATGGTGCTTGGTTATGCTTTTGATACCTAAGGTCTTTAATTTGCTCTGAACGGTGAAAGGGCTTCGAGTCTTGCGTTTTTGAGATACTACGAAATGCATTTGTTCCAGCACTTGAAATCGCCCTACCTTTTCAGAAGAATAAAATTCTTCAAGATTATTTAGGGCATTAGTTTCTAAAATTCATTGACTCTACAATTTGCAACAAGTAATTATTAGCTCAAACAACTTAAGTGGTTTGGACTACGAATATTATTTTTCAGTTTTTGATACCTAATTCTCTTCAATTTTTCTGAAATGAGCCATAATTTCAGTAAATTTTGTAAATCAATATGTTTCTTTGGCCTCCAACTCAGATTAGCTCCTGCATTGTCAGTCTGTTTAATATTTTATTGCCTGTATCAAATGAAGCAGAATGGCCTCCCTCCTGCCTGCAGGGGGCTAAAAAGTTTCCTGTAACTTGCCTCATACTGTAGCTCTATGACCATAGTAACTTTACTCATAATAGCTTTGGCTACCATATTGATAGAAGGCGTTCCTTTGTATTAAGTTTATTTAAACAGAGGTGTTAAAGAGCTAGCTCAAAGCGCGCACTGACATTCTTGAAATTTTTTGTTTGTCTGTTTTTGTGATATGTTTAATTTATCTTTGTCTACAGTTTAGCTAATTTCTTCATTTATTTATTTTTATAACTCTTCAATGACCTATCTCAGTGAATAAATTCATGGGTTCACATAAAAACATTTCTTTTCCTCTTTTTAATATCCATCTCATGTTGGAAATTGGCCTTGAACACATTTAAACATCATATAGGTATTACAGGGTTGCCACAGAATTTAGAAAATGAATAGGTCAGTTGCGCTGGTCTCAGAATCGTGGTTTGATGCTTGATTCTTGTAAATTAGCTAAAAGTAGTAAGATCTGTCCAATCAGCAACTTCCTACGTTTTATATTAACTGAGCTATTTCGCTTTGAAAAGTCTATTTTTGACGTCATCCACCGCGGTAGTGACACCCTTGGTTTCTTTCTATTTTGTTCAATCAGTGATGTAGAGGGCGTAACGCGAAACTTCAATGATGTTACACAACAACAACACTCAACACAACTCAACAACTCTTGTTACAAACTCAAGAAACAGATGGATTCGCACTTCAAAGAACTTATCAGGAGATAAAGCTCTAGCCGCGAAGAGATTCTGGTCTGTCAGTTCACCTCTGTTTGTTCATGTTTAATGTCGTTGAAGTTTTGCATTGCACCCTCTGCATCACTGTTCCAACAGAAGAGAAAAAACCAAGGGTGTCACTACCGCTGTGAATGCCGTCAAAAACCCGACTTTTCAAAGCGAGATATCTCTGTTAACGAAAGTAGAGAGTTGTTGTTTGTACAGATCTTATTATTTTAAGTTAATGTACGAGGACCAATCATCCAAACCCGATTCTGTTACCAGCACAACTGATCCATTGTCCTGACATATTTTGGTAAAATCCCTGACATTACTAAAGATATGTTGGATGGTTAAAAAGACAATTGAAATAGTTTTCAGGCAAAATTGGTCGTTTGAAATGTCAAACTCATTCTAGAAAGCAAACAAGGGTGACTTTTTTCCCAGATGATGCTGTCACTTTCCTTGAAATTTCCAGGTTTTCCCTGACTTTCTGAAATTTCCTGACATTTCCCAGTTTTTTCCGACCGAGGCAAACTCAACTAAGATAGGAGGGCAAGACAGGAGGTCTCTTCAGTACCCAGAAGACCTTCTCCTCGATTTCACTCTTTTGCTACCCTCATAAAAGATTCATAATTTCCGCATAGTTTCGACGTTTTTCCTTACTTTTTCAAATTCCTTGACTGGCAACAACCTTAACATTAGGTAACCTGCTTTATGGTTTGCCGAAATAATTTCAAAAACGTTGTCACAATGCTATTTTTGTCAGTAACATTGTAACAATACTTGTGTTCCCACTTCGCTTGATAGGTTCTCTGGAGAAAGTCTCTGTCCTTAGATTTATTAAAAGGAACGACAGATCTAACTGCATGTCTTTTAGGATGATGCTAATCAGGAAAAACTTGAGCAATTTTTTTGGGATTCACGTATTAATTGTGATATTTGCGGTTGTTTAGTACAAATAAAAAAATAAAAAGCTGACACTTGATTTTTGACTAAATGATTTAATCGAATGCAAGTAAATATTTAAAATAAATAGAAAAAACTTAACAAACAGGTCTTCTTTTATTATTTATCATCAGTATTAAAAGTATTCACATGCACCGCGGTGAGAAAAAATTATCAATGATCAGAGAACTACAGGTTTTTATACAGTAGTACAGATCGACGGTGAAACTCTCAAGTCACATATCTCGTTTGCAGTGTTTAAACAGCTCTGCTCCTATTTTATTTTTTTTTTTTTTTTCAGGGGAAAAAAAATCAACATTATTCCTTGAAAGGTTCACAGAACTTTCTTTTCGAAGAGAAAACAATCACGGCAGATTTTTGGAATTATTGTTGAGAGGATTTCCACTTGAAAAATAAAGTATGACAAGAAGTCTGCAGTGTCACAGACCGAGATATGTCTCTTGAGAATTTCGTCGTTGACATTTGAATTTGCTAATCAAAGCTGATTATTGCTTCAAACTTGTCCTTGCACCAGCTAATTCATGCTAAAATTAGGAGGTACACCTAGACATACCAAAATTATAATCTCTTTTGATACATCAATAGTTTTCATTCAGGATGATCAGACAAGTATCACATTAAAACTTCAAAGCTTTCAACGTGCAATATACTGACAAGTCAACAGAAGCGAATACTCCATAGGTGCTGAAGTTACCGATTTTCCTTCTCAGCTTCTTAACACTTCTCATGCTATGCATCCGGGGGCATTTTGATGCTCCCAAATCTAATACACTACTAGCAAAAAGGTAAATTTTAATTGATCTAGGTGACAACATCTGCTATGACTCACCAATCAAAAAGGCACTACCCAAAAATCCTAAGATCAATGCTCATCTTAAACCCTCTGGGACTTCCGCTTCTGTTGGCATAGCTAATTTGCTTTATCCTTTTGATTGAGGGGGGGGGGGAGGCAAAAGAAGTGTATGTGTAATCCTTTAAGAGTATGATTGCTACTATACAACGCAAAACTACTTCTTCCCTCATTTCCTTATGACTAAAAATACACGATCATTTGAGGGATATTTTTTTGAGACTTGTTGAGTAGTGTTAAGATAACTTCCACGTATCATCAACTGTTTTTCATTTCTTCACGAGGGATGCATGATATTTGAGATAAATGTGACAAGGATTCGCTGATATTTACTTAAGGTGTATTCATTACACTTGAAAGTTGACGAACTTCTGTACAGTCATGGAGACACTTTTGACTTAACTGAATCAGTTACAACTGGGCTGAAAATAATTTGTAAAACCGAGTGTGCTTGGCTTGCGACACTACCTTTACCAAAATTTAAGGCAAGTTCGCACAAGAAGACAAAGAGCTTTCTGGGAGGCTCTCTTGTACTACACATACAACACAACTCAGCAGATTGATATGATCTCGGAAGTATTTTGGCCTCTTTAAGTCATTAATAGTTTTCATTTCAGCCTTACAAACTGAATTACGTTTTTGTTCTCTTTTTTTATACTTTAGTTCAGTTGCTGCTGGGAAAAAATTCTTTTAATTATATTTCAAGTTCAAATTAAAAATTCGCAACAAGACACATAAAATTACTGGGGTTCTGAGTCTCCTAGTATGGGGCAGAGATATTAACAAAGACATACTGGTAATACCATGGTACTACACACATACTATGAATGAGAGAAGATACAGACAAAAATTTGATAGGAAAATTATTGTGATAGTAATATCAGCCCGACAATGCGCAATTACTTATAGTTGAAGTGAGGGTACATTTTCCAAGCGTAACTTGATATGAGCATAATTAGATTTATACAAGGCATATCTTCAGCATTTGTAAAATCATAATGATTGTCTGTTTTTTTTTCCTACCATAAAAATTAGTAAATTTGGTTACTTGGTATCTGTATTGATCAGGAAATTATTACATTAGGTGGACACTCAATTCTGTTACAGAATTTTTAATTACTTTTGACCTATCAAAAGCTTGTAATGGAGCGAATCAAATCAGATTTTTTAATCTTTATGAGAGGCTGGTCCTTCTGAGGTTCAGGATAAAAATTCAAACAAATATTTGTCTCACTAGGAAATGGACAAATATTTTATATCCTAGTTTCACAGTTTTGAACACTGTTTTGTCAGTGGATATGAAGAAATTAAATTGGTACGAATAATGTATGTAATACAATCATGAACTCGCAAAATTTTGAAAGCTCTTGCCTGGAGTTAAAATCAAATATTCAGATGACAGGCTACAAAGCCATTTTCTTTACAATCAAGAACAAAAATTTCTGATTTTTCAATTTATGAAATGTCTTATAAGAAGGAAAAAAATCTCAATAATAATACTTTTTCCCCCTTCACAAGCTACCGACTATTCAAGTTTTTAATGAACTTCCTTCATCTCCATTTACCGAGACAAGATCACTGCACAAAATTCAATGGATCGCAAGGTTGTATAAAAGTGGAAATTTTTCAATGATTCTTCCAACAATTTCAGACATTGTTGCCGACAAATGTACTTCTAAAATGCAAGTCTTATGCTAATACTCATAACTTCCAAATTCATTTCGATAGATCAAATATGTTTAGGTAAAAAAAGCTTGGTATCTTTCCGATTGTCATTTCCATTGCATTTAGTTGGCCGAAAGTACAATTCTCTAAAAAGTAACTGAACTGAGTTTTAAATTTGGCTAATAACATACACCAAATTATTTGTGTGAACATAATCAGATTTAAATAACTTTTCAGCACAGTTTGGTTACTAAAAAAGGCACTAACAGGCACTTGATAAAATTGGACGGTATGACAACTGATAATGGCAATTACAGAATAAATTAATTTGAGTAAAAGAGAAAACCGTGAGCTGAGCACGCAATAATATAATTTTAAAACGGCTCAGAGGCAGAATCTTTAATCAGTCGATTCCATTTAATTTGAATAGATAATAATAGCTCAAACTATATCCCACAATGATAATTCCTGTTAGTAATAGGTAGTTTTAACAATAAATAAAACTTTTATGACACATAGTCCTTAAAAATAAGTTTTTATCTTTAATTTTTAATATATAATTATTATTATTGTCTTAAAAATATATTGCAATCAGACTCCCTGAAAAATAATTTCAGTACAAGGAAATACTAAAATTATAAAAGTACGAGAGAATAAGAATGATCACAGATTTAAGTCATGTGTCAGGGCATAATAAGCTCTATGTGATGGGCTGATAAAAACCTCGATAATTAGACGGTATTTTTTTTTTAGAGATACTTTCTATCACTCTCTATGGGAACAAATATTTGATGTTACTTTAATTATTACATAGCAATCTCTACGAATTATTACCTCCCTATCATTTAAGATAAGGGACACAGTTTTTTTGCACTTCCAAAAAAGTGGGTTTTTTCCTGTGGTTTGTAAATTCAACAATCAATAAACAAATTGTTCTACTTTACATTTAAGAAAATAGATCTGAAGAAATACTTTATTCTGGTTTGTGATAACCGAGAATTACATTTTGAGAGCTAAGGAGCAAAAAAAAAAAAAAAGATAGAAACTGACACAGACTTCTCCTTCTGCTGATCCATTCTCTCTCATCAAAACTAATTTTTTTTTTTTTTTGGATAGAGCTGAATATCATGCTACAAATGAGAAAACAGCTACGAAAAAACTGTCTTATAAAAATGCAGAATTTCACGACAATCCTTAAAACAATACGACTAGTACTCTTTATACTAAATTTACAGGTTGAAAAACAATTACAGCTGATATTCATTCCTAAAGAGACACAACTTAATCAGTAATACTGAAACTTCCGATGGTAAAGAACTCCCAGGGTAGGCACCATAATATTTCTGTCAGGAGAGGAATTGCAACATTGCAGCCAGGGCAGCAGTTTAAACGGGGAAAATTCCGTACGTTGCGACTTACAGCTCATACCAATTCTAGTTTTAAGGATTTTTAGGCCTCGTTTGGTCTGATAACTAGGTGATGAAGGTGATTTTGTCGGTGAGTAGCACAAAACAAACTGATTATTCAAACATGAAACTGATGGGTGGAAATGATGAACTTAGTGTTATCACTTGTGTTGTTTTTTGGCAACTTTGAGCAACTGCTGAACAGTTGGTCGTTCTCTTCATGAAAAACGTAATTATATTTGAGTAATGCTACATTTTCCTTCTTAAATTCTATTTTAATCAGAGGAATCTTGGGCTTTTCTAGCTGGAAATCTCACTTATTTTTCTTTTCATATCATGTAAATATCACGAAAATTTTGTGATAAAATTGCCCCGGTACATTCTTGTAAAAAATTAAATCGTTTGAGTGAATTTTGCAACCTCGGAATGGAGTTTCGTTCTTCCGTCCGGAAGGCGCCGAGTTGATTGATTGGTAGCTTTAGCTTTAATTTTAGGGTTGTGCCTACTGAACGACTCAATTGAAGAAAAACGTTGACACCAGGTGAATCAAATAGCACTCGTGTCTTTCTTCAGATAAACGTCCGACTATTGCAGTTGATACAGTTTGCTTTGAGTGCTGCTCCTCTCGTTGAACGATAAGTTTTAAAAAAAGAATGACTCATGAAAAGAGTCTTCCCTTAAAATTGAGCATGTTAAAGGCTGATTACTGAAGTAAATTATATGATGACAAAACATCCATCTCTTGTCAATTTTAGGAGCAATTCAAAACCAGAAGAAGGAATGAAGTACCTAGCAGAAATTCCATTTCCTTCTTATTCTGCCCATAGCACAAAGTTAGAGTTTTTAAAAGCGTAATCAGACATGAAGCATTAAAACGGGCGATATTTTTTAGCACTTTTTCCCTAAATTAAAAATTAAGTACAAAAAAGCTTAAATATTTTGAAGCTCTTAAGTGACCCGATGCAGGGACAAGGATCAAGTTCAGGAATATGGGTGAGAATAAAATGGAGAACTAGGATGCAATTATTTTTGTCATTGTTGTTGTTGTTGACAAGATGCAAGCAGCTCTGATTGGTTTGTCTTTTCAAGTCTGGATTTTTTGAATTTTCAGCGCATTTCAAAATCTGTGCTTTTTTGGGGTTACCCCCTAGAATTTAGGCATTTTACCCAATATTCCCAGAACTTTAGATTTTTCTCTGGGTCTTTGACCAGAACTTCCGTTCCTGCCATTTTGACTTTTGGCGTTCTCGTTGGGTATGGTGATTGGTGGTCCCTCTATAAAGATATTGTGTCACTTAGGAGCTCCATCGGAGATCTTAAACTTACATGGCCGAAAATAATAAAATGTAAATTATTTATTTGCAAAACTTCAGCTAACAATAAGTATCAGCTCTTAACATATCACACATTACTAAAGCCGAATCACAGACACTGCTACTGAGAGTTCTAACATCAAGTTTAAAAACCGCATGAAATATCAGCCATAAAATACAGGGATATTCACAGATAAACAACCTGAATTTCATCTTTTGGTCTGGGAAAACTTACGAAAGCTAACGCCTGGTAACATGAATCAGCTGTAAGTTCTCACTTGACCAGCTTTGAGCCTTTTATTTTACACGGATCAAGCTTTATTGTGTTGATATCACAAAAAACTTATGGTCCAGGCTATCTTGAAGCCATAGTCTCGTGCCTGGGGCATTTCCTTGATATCATCAACAGCACTGTTGAGTCATGCTACAAGCTGTCCGTAAACATTTCTACATAAAACTTTTCTGAGCAATCATTACAAATATCAAACATGCAGATCATGGTTTAAAACATTCCTACAAATAGCATTTGCGCAAAATGGTGGCACAAAAACTACCATAATTTTACGGCAGTGGAACAGGAAATTTCTAAAGACAAATAAAAGAATGAGTTTGAATGATTAACGGTGATATAGGCCACTGTTCGGTCATGGAAACTTCCAAGAATCAAATATGTATCGTATGCTCACAAGATATAGATGCAGTCCTATGATACATTCAATTTTTTTAGAGCAGATTGTGACTATCAGACTGAGTAGCAGAACAAACGAAAATACCCCAGGCTAAGTGGTCGGTTTCTTCACAAACCAATACAAGACAGAGAGATAAACTTTTTCAAACACTATCTAATTTCAATAGATTATTTGAATAAAAAAAGCCGCTAAAAAATATAAAAAAAATTAAATTAATATCGCAGTCAGTACGTTGATAACTTCTGATTATCTTAGATACCACTCCCATTGCCATCTGAGTTGGAGCTCTGAGAGTCGATATCAATTACATTTGGATTACATGCAACATAAATCAGAGCTTGTTAATAAAAATTTACTTTAAAAAGTTAAAAGAAACTTATGCGAGAACTTTTCAGCATCAAAAGCTGTGGAAGAAGTTTTGAAGAAAAAAAGTAAGAAAGAGAAAGAGACTTGTAAATGTGACCAACAAGTGAAAAAGGGACGGTTCCTGGTGGTGAATTTTTCACAATGAAGATTTGTGTCAAATCTAATTAATTACTAGAGGGTATTTAATTTTTCTACAGAAAGGCGGCCTTGTATATTGACAAAAAGTTTGCTCAAGGTGCAGTTTGTATTGATGTCAATAGAGGGCATGAGTTCCAATTTAATCCAACGATTTTTGCAAAAATGGCACGATAAAAGTTTAGTTGCAATCTTCTCAACAATACATTTTTTGACTTGCAAACTTAATCCATCAAAACTTGGGTTTGATTTGACATTTTTCAGTGTTCATCACACAAACTTATTTTTAGAAATCTCTTCCAAAAGGGGGTACCAAAAATGTATTTTCGAGTTCTTAGCCGGAAGGTCCCTTTTCCTACAGACTGTAGGAATAAAGATAATTTTGTGAAAATTTGCTGTGGGTAAAAATGATTACTGAATAAAACTGCTCATTCTGAAAAATTATTTGTGGAGGGGTAAATCGGAATAGCTTATTTCTTCGTTAGTGTCAATTGCGAGGTGTCGTCATCACAGTAAACTTTTGTGATAACAATGTCGCCTGTCGATAAAGTTTGGGATCCTGTTTCTATAAGCTTGCTTTTTGAACTATTTGACACTGGTGCACTAGCGCTCATAGTTGCTGCTGTCAGGAGCTCCTCCAAACGTTCCATCTTGTCCAAACGGTCCATTTCCTTGTCTGATAGTATATTATCCATCAGCTGCATGGATTCTGTCAAACTCAGAGGCTCTGAGTTTGGAGACAAGGCTTCTGAAACAGTTACAGATTGCTTTTTAAGTGAAAATAATCAAAATTTCTTGGCTTATATATGCTTAATGAACAAAATTTCAACTGATTCTTAAAACTCGAGTGCCTGTAGGGGGAGAGTACAGATAAGTTGGTAATTTTGCCGCTAAGTTATGGAGCTTTTAGAGTCAAAAAGAGCAGTCAACCTGTGAAATCAAATTCACCAGAATTCTTTATTAGGTATTAAAATTGTTTCAACCTGTCGTTTGTAAAGCATCTACAGTAAAGACAGCATATAACAACTCACGTTTATAACAGAAAACCGGTTATATCATTATTTTCGCGCAGTCCCGTTTTTTTGCCTATGAGAACAATGTAAAAAATTCCCACATAAATCGGAAACACTTATTTCGGAAATCCGATTGTAACATCAAAAATTTTGGTCTCAAATCGAAAAAGTTCCGGAATAAACAGGATTTTTCTAAAAAAAATTCTGTGCGAGTTTTAGAACTTATGCAATCTATGGTTAGATAGTTATTCCAAGAACTCAATACAACATAAAAACCATTTAGTTGTTGGCAAGGGCGTGGCTTTCTTAGCAATATATCGATTGATCTGCCATTTAAACCTATGGAAAAGGATCGATGATGTTCGCAACGAACACCTTCATAGTCGATCTTAACTTCAAATGGAGCAATATCATAATTGATCATCCACACTTTGCTACCAGTTCGGCCGTGCCTCTTAGTTCCGTCCATCGTTGCCATATTCACCCAAAATTGATTAACATTATTTCATGTCAGTTTAAAGAAATGACAGCTTGTTGCATGGATAAGTTTTATAGTTTTGTATTTGATAAGGACAAATTCATTCCCCCCCCCCTTATCATAAAATTAATGCTCGCAAAAATATTCAAATTGATCTCAAGAAATAGGGTATTAGCTAGATTTTCAGGATGCTTTTTCACGATGTGGCATCAGGCAGCGTCAGACAGACCCAGTTAGCGGAGAGGCGCAGGCTGCGCTAGGGTGGCCCAACTACACACAACAAAATATATTTTCCGAATTTTTTTGGTCTTACCCCCTAGAACTGATCCATTTGATCAAAAAACACTCCCTGCCAAGTTTCAGCCAAATCGGATGATATTAACCCGTGCCGACAGAGACATCTTTCTTACATGGGATTTTACATTGAAAAACACTTCTTTTCAGAAAACTCCATTTCCCGAAAAATGTGTAATTTCTAGAAAAAATCAGAGGTCATATTCGGCATTAGCAGGAAAAATAGAGTGGGAAAAGTTGTATCTGACACCTCAAAAAAATTTTTTTACCCCTCGTTATAGCGGTGAAACAACTGAAACATCTAGAAAACACTAAAAAAGGGTAAAATGAAGGTGATAAATCTCAAATAATTACATAGGTCTGCATCTGAAAACAAAGCTCCACATATGGTAGGTGATTTGCATGTATTTTTTTACGCTCAGTCCGTCCGAAAATGCTTTACATTTTCTTTTTTTCCATCAGGATTATCTGGAAAATCGATTTTCTCGTAAAACAGATGGTTTTCCAGGAAAAAATCAATTTTCAGGAAATAAACCCCAACATGTAGTAAATGTTTTTTTGTGTTTTTTAAAACTGAGTCCAAAAATGATGACAAAGTTGCTCCATTTTATCGGGATTTTCCGGAAAATCGATTTTCTCATAAAAACAGGGTTTTCTGGGGAAAACTCAATTTTTAGGATAAAAACGATCGACATGTGATACATGCTTTTCATGTGTTTTGTGTCGGGGCGCCATGCAGGCATCTCGCCAGACGGAAACCTGAATGGTAGGTAGCAAAACGGCTGAGTTTACAAAATTCAGCATAAGGACTTTCTTTACATAGAATCAATGTACCAGGAGAGTGCAGGAAATGACTAGCTCCCATACTTCTTAGGACATTCGGCCGCTGAGTTAAGAAATGACTTGTTTTTTTGTCGAAATTTACAAGTTTTTCAGGGTACCGAGTTTTCCTTGGAAAATCCTCTTTTTTACAGGAAAAATTTAGCTTCTCACAAACTCCTAATGGAATAGAAGGAAACGGTTATCATTTTCGAAGTCAAAGTTAAAAAAACACATCAAAAACATCTATTACATGTCGATAGTTTATTTCCTAAAAATTGAGTTTTACCCGGAAAACCCTGCTTTTACAAGAAAATCGATTTTCCAGAAATTCCTGATGGAACAGAAAAATGGATAGCATTTTCTGACTAAGTGTAAAAAAGTACATGTAAAACATCTACAATATGTAGAGCTTTGTTTTCTTCGATGCAGACCTATGTAATTATTTGAGATTTATCCCTATCATTTTACCCTGTTTTAGCATCTTCTAAATATTTCAGTTGTTTTACCACTATAAAGAGGGGTGAAAATTTTTTTTTGAGGTGTCTAATACAACTTTACCCACTCGATTTTTTCTGCTAAAGACATGACCTCAGATTTTACCTAGAATTTACATCTTCCCGGGAATGGATTTTTCTGAAAAGAAGTGCTTTTCATTTTAAAATCCCATATAAAAAAGATGGTTCTGTGTAGAGTCTCTTTACACTGAGGGTTAAGACAATGTGAATCCATTTTTGATTAGTTCCCTTATTTTAGGCTTCCACAGTGTCACGAACTGGAAGAAAGATTAAATTTTCACCAATTGCAAAGATTATAATCTGAAATGGACCGGGGAATTACTGGTTCAGCAAGGAACAAAAGGAATGAGAGAAGGAACGGAGAAAAGAATTTGAGAATGAGCCGATCAAAGATTACGAAAAACAATCAATTTGGGTAATCTTTATTTCCGTTTTTGACTCCATGAGGGGGGAGGTTGTCTTAACTCTCAGTGTAAAGGGACTCTAGCTCTGTCGGCACGGGTTAATATTATCCAAAATTTCGCTGAAACTCGGCAGAGAGTGTTTTTTGATCAAATGAATCAGTTATAGGGGGTAAGATAAAAAAATTCCAACGCTGCCAAATTTGGGCTGCACGGTTCTCGCTTGGAACTCAATATTCACGCGAAAACCGCTTGTAACTTAAAATTCTGGCGATCCGGATGCATTCCATTATATGCAGTCTCTACTGTACTTGACTTTGGATAGTTTAGCCATTTTACTCATATTTACAGAAGGACACTCATTTGTGTGCATTCTTGGGCATCTTGGTTTGGTCTCCGAATCTGGAGATTGGCAGCAGCACTTTTCTGGTGTTTTTCGTGTTAGAAGGTTGGCTGCCCCAGGCCCTAGAAGCTTCATATTTTGACGTGTCCATACCCACCCCATATACTTACTCTACTTATTGCTATTTTTGCAAGTTATTAAGTTTGTTAAGGTGCGCTGTGGGTCTATCTACATTGAAAGTTGAAAGAAAGAACAAGTCAATGGTCAAAAGGGCTACTACTTATCTCCATTGCAGTGTTTCAAAATTTCGGCTCTCATTTTATTCCTTTAGAGAGAAACAAACCAACTTTATAGCTTGAACTGGATACACAATATTCAGCCAACAGAAAGGAAAAATCAGGGAGGTTTTCAGGAAATTATACTGACTTGATTTCGAAAGATAGAATAAAGAATGAGAGGAAATCTACAATAACGCACATAGAGATACGTCTTTTCGCACTTCAGCCATCGATATTTACTTCAGGAGTAGACTGGATGACTGGACGGATCTAGCCGAGATTAGCAGAACTGCTTTTCACCTTGCGTAAATTCCTCTCGTGTTCTATTTTTTTACAGAGAAATATTCTACTCAACGCTTTTAAAGCTTCTCTCTGTAAAGTTACCCAAAAAATATGAGGACATCACTCACAAAATTTAAAGTTACAGTGCTACTTAGTTTCCTATTTAAACAAAAAAAAAAATGAAAAATTAGAGAGAATTAGGCAATGGTCCATTAAGTCGGGTTAATTCCAGTTGAAACTGTCCAGTTACAAAAACTAAAACCACACTGACTTTTCAAAAATTCAAGAGAACGAATGTCAAGATCAGTTTCATGGGGAGGATTCTAACCGGTAAACATATGGCATTTATTTGATTTCGAAGATAGGATAGCATCCGTCACAGAGATAAATAGTGTGGAATAAACTTACCATTAAGGGAAGAGTCTGAGGGAGAGGATTTCTCACTATTATAACTATCTAAACTTTGGAATTCTCCTGATTCCCCTTCTTCACCATCCCTAAAATCAAAGTCACACTTGTGGTGATGAAGGAACAAACAGCGTTGCTAAAATATTACAATTTAAAAGATGTATGATAGACATTAAGCGATTCTGCACAAGACAATCAAGTTTTCTAAGGATAAAATCTTGCAGACCTGAAGGACATTGCACACTCCTTATGGGAAAGTGCACCACGATCGAGTTTTAATTTTTGTTATTGCATTCAATTTATCTCAAGATGCTGATCAAAAGTCATCATTGCGCCAACTTTCTACGATGCACCATTTTTGCACAATGCGCCCAGAATGCTTCAATTATTTGGCTATTAAGAGTCAGAGAGATTCCTCATTTTAGCACTTGAGTGAACAGTCGGTTGTGTGTCAACAAAGAAATTAGGGGAACTCCAGCACCGGGTGGCAGTCTTATCTCAGATTCTGCAAGCCTTTTGCTTGACCATCCAAACCAGATTCGAGAGTATAAGAACAGGAAAGTCTGAGAAAAACAGTGAACGTCAAACGGACGAGAGCGGGAGGGAGATAGCCAGAGAGTAGGCAGGAATAGATAAGAAGACGGACACTCGCTACGTTTTTCCATATCCACATCAGGCCTGTTCTTGAATGCCTTGTTCTTTTTGACTTTTTATCGCCAAATAATCGAGGCATTCCAGGCGTATTGTGCGAAAACGGTGCATCATAGAAAGTTGACACAATGATTACTTTTGATCAGCATCTTGAGATGAATTGAATGCAGTAAAAAAATTAAAAATCAATTGTGGTGCACTTTTCCATAAGGAGTATGCGGGGTTCTTTCAGGCCACGTTTTTCTCAGTTGATTTCAAGTGAAAACAAGTATCATCCATTACTCGGTGAAAAACAATGACTGACAAGTTTTGAACATGTTTACTGCCAATGTGTTTTTGTGGAATTGTTCCTGTCGGACCAAGAAAACGAGCAAAAAACTGATGCTAGTCCTTCTTTTCGGTTTCATATGTGATTAGGTTTTTAGAATTAATTATTTAAAGGATCCACAGACAGCGCCTACATGCAATGCAACATGATGAAAATGTTTCATTGGATGAAATTGATCACTAAGGCTGTTTTGGCCTCCAGCCAGCGAATATATTATCATTCTAAGCGCTTTGGAAAAAAATGTGTTACTTAAAAGATTACAAACTGATGAAAAAGGTGCTGGGTATTCTCCTAATACTGGATGGATTCTGACTGATTTTTTTTATGAGCTGGAAAGATTGCTTGGTTACTTACTTTCCTTTTCCTTGCAGCTTTTCTAGCTTCCGAGCAACTTTGTATGACCCTTTAAGCTTTTCTTTTTCTTCATCAGTAAGTTCTAAGTACCTAATGACAATATAAAAAAATTCGATGAAGATGAAATCGATGAAGTGAATATATATCAAAGTGAGCTTCATCTAAAATTTTCAGCAAATTCAAGGTTCATATGAAAAATGAGCCTCATGTTTTTCTTCCTTTCCTTGCGATTTTCAGAATTTGTCTCATGTTAAGGCAGTGATCATTTGGGAGGAACATCAATTCTTGCCAGCAGCATCATTTTAAAAAATCAGTAAACTTTCGTAAATTTTCGTGAATAAAACCTACAAGATGATGTAGCATCACGTCCAAGATATTGGACTCCATGCTCACCCTTGATATAATTGCCTGCTTATCTTGTCCATGATCTTGGACTCCATGCTCATCGCTAAACTTCTCACTTCTTTGCTTGAGCATGGAGTCCAAAAGCAAGTAGACCTCCCTTAGTTTTAAAGTTCATCATTATAGAAAATCGTATACTTCGCTCATCTAATCTAACTTGAACTAACTTAACCTAACCTAAGCAATGCACAATTTTTTTTTCGAGAACACATTTTTTCGTCTTCACTTTACAAAAATTGTCTTAGTAAATTTTTGGACCCTATGCTCATGTATTGTTAGAGAATACCTGCATCCCAAAATTTTGGACGCTATGCTCACTTCGATTTTTCGAAAAAATTATCTCTAATTAAAGTGAGCATGGAATCCAAGATCTTGGACGAGATGAGCAACTGAACATTTTATAGTTGAGCATGGAGTCCAATATCATGGACGCGATGCTACATTACCAACTCCAATAAGGGTTTCTGTTTCAACACTTTTTTATTGCAAAAATGCACCTCACACTTTTTTGAGTTTTTCATGACTTCATTATATTCTTAGTAAATTTCATAAAAATTATACATATAGATATAGTTTTATATGTTGAATGTAGTGGTTCTAGTTATGTGGCAGCGTTTTACTCAAGGTTCACATCAATACAAATGATTTTTAGGATTGAGCAAAGTTTTGATAGTAATTCCCTTTTTCCTGACTTTTTTTGTTGTAGTTTCTGTTTTGTTTACGCGAATTTAATTCACAGTGAGTGAAAAATCATAAAGAGAGTTTCCTCTCAACTACATATTTTGAAAGTTTTTGTTCATTTCTTTTACGTTTACTTTAAGTCCAGAAGTAACACTTACACGCACAGCCAATGTGGACATTTTTAATCTTTGGAATGAGCAATTCCATTCCTGTGTTTTTTAGGACCCTAAGACTGACAGAAAAATTAGAGACAAAAACCAACTTTCTTTGCAAATTCCTTACCACCTATTTCAAGTAGATAAGCTCGAGAAATCGAACATAAAACTTCTAAAATCTAACCAAGATCACATTTTGTGTTACCATCATCATTAGAAACTATCAAATAGCAGAGCTAGAACATATGTAGTTGGCTTTTGTTTCTTAAATGACTTTGAGCTGCGTTCCTTTATTCTATGAACCTACAGAGAGGATCTTATAAAGTTTAACATAATTATGTTTTGAAGACCAGTTGATGGGAACTATAATGACCATATATGTATTTGAACCAAATTAATTAGAACTTACCTTAGAAGCCTAATTTCTCTGTTGCTCAAAACAATATTGCGACCTGTTTGAGCTGATTGCGCCAGTTTTGAACGCAGATCCGAGACTTCACTTTCAACTTTCCGTTGACGTTTACGCAGCTTCACATCATTTGGTTGAATATTCATAAACACTTGTTCATCACACAATTCTTTCAATAATGGCACCATATCTGGAGTGATTTGTCTGTTCAATTTCAAAAGAGGAGTGAAATTTACAAAATAGATACTTGAGTCTCAATCTTAAATGAATGAATAGATGTCGATAGGCAAGTGATTGTCCACAGGAAAGGTACTTTAGGGTATGGAGGCGACTTTTTTTTTAGGGGAATAATTTTCGTTCAGTTGAGTAGAAAAATTGCAATTTGAGTTACAAACAAACAAACAAACAAACAAAAATTTACATACTGTTAGCAAAAACTTGATTGATTCCCACATTTTATGTCAGCCTTGAGTTTTGGTTACATTTACATTGTGTCAGAGTTTTAGAGCATCATGGAAAAAATTGAACGAAGACATTTTCTCCAAGTATAAAAATGTGATGAGTTAATTAGAGAGAAGGACTTGGTTCTGTGGCTTCTACAGGAAAGATGGGAAACATTGGTAATCATGTTAAACAAAGCTATTACCTATTGCACATGTTAAATTAGTGAAAGAGAAAAAACATTATAAGAAAATCTGTGAGAATCATTTGAAAGAAATAGTTGTGGTCAGGGGTTGCTGAATCAAGGGTTATCAGAGAATAATCAAAAGCAAACTTAAACTTGTTAGCGGACACAATAAGTATCAATGTGCAGGTATGGTGTCATTGTTTTACATTCTTGAACTTGGTAAGTGCAGATATTGTATCTGAGATAAATAAACATCCTTTCCACTTTCTTTTACTATTTGGCATTTTAACTAAACAGTTTCTTACGGAAGTTTTTACATACTAATAAATAAGGACAAAAAATAAAACATCCTTCATTCAAAGTTGACAACTCGTTACATAACGATTAATTCAAACCTTTAAAATGGTTCACGGCCTTGGGTATTCATACATAAACACACAAGTCATCAGACAATTCAAACAGAGTCGAGCAACGCAGACTATTAGGCAAAGAGGGAATCCATTTTCAAACGATCCCAAATCGTTTATTTTGACAACGAACTGTTAATTTCACAAGAAATCTATAGTGCTTAGGTTTGAAACAAGGCTATGATGAGGCAGTTCATATAAAATCCTTCGTAAATATTGGATGGCATCATTCAAAAGAAATGAGTGAGCTGAGTCCAAGGAAAATTTCCGATTTGATCTGAGGGAAAAAATTTTAAAATGTATGAAAAATAAAATGTTCAGTTCATGATTTGAGCAGCCTTTTGGGAACTGGTTGAGAATCAAAGGATTCTACATTGAAAGAAAACCAATAACCTAATTCAATATCTGGTTCAACAGGCTTGGCCATGACCAGACATGTTTGATGCGCTATTTTATGCAGGCTAGATAGGACTTTATCCATATTAGTCCACTCCTGATTACTCTGCAGGGTTTAAAAAACTTAGGTACAAGAAGGTTTCAACAAAAATGACAAAATTTATCATTTTTTCCGAAAAGAATCAAACACACAAAAGAGGAAACATTTCTACAATTTATTTTAAAATGTGCTTTTGCGCTCGTAGTTTTCTTTCACACCATTTCCATCCACTAAATATCTTTGCTCTAATAATCATTAAGAGCTTATAAGATTGGGTTGGAGAAAAGTTTGATCCTTTTCATTCACAATTTCTGAAAACCCCTGGGTGTTTACTCTGATACGAGGGGTATTCTTGAAGTAAGTTGGTATTTATCATATCTTCTAAACTAATGAAGATAATTTAAATATATGAAAAGCAGTTGAATTGTCATACTCTCAGCTTTTTAAAAAGTCTCAGATTTTTAAATTTGGTTTGCTGAGTATTGAGTAACAAGAGTTTTCCCACACCAGTCTCTTGCCACCTCACGTCCATTTGCGGATGTCTTTTAGGGTGCTCAGTGAGTGTTACTCATTGATTTCTTAGAGGAGAGCACAACTATTGATGCTGACAGAAACTGTAATGTAATGAAAGGGCTCAAATGAGCAATGAAAAGAAAACACTCTGGTCTTTCGTCTCGTCAAGTGTTGCTGCTTCATGACAACGCTATAGGCTGCATACAGCTCATGTGAGCATCGAGTTGTTAATCTCCTTTAAATGGGACCTTTCCCCTCATTCCCAGGATCTTGCCGCAAGTGATTTACCACTCATTTCCAGAGCTGAAGAAGGGTTCTGGCGGAAAAAGTTCCGCGGACGCCGATTAGCTCAAAGAAGCTGTACCAAAGTGGTTGCAAAAACAATATCGACAGTTTTCCACTGATGGAATTAAGAAGCTCATGTCTCGGTATGTAAAATGTGTTCAACGAGTTAGAGATTACACGGGAAAGTAAGGTAGAGTTTTCTCAAACATGAAACTATTAAATTTTGAACGAAAAATCGCACTTCGACAATTTTGCAGAATGAAGTCGCATGCTATCATCCTGCCACCTCCTGAGTGCTCGTAAATTTTGGACTTGCGGAGGTGAGAGACGGGTGTGGGAAAACTGATGTCACTCGTCGCTTGGAAAACCAAATTTCAAAAACTGAAACGTTTTAAAAAGCAGAGAGTGTGACAATTCAAATGCTTTTTACAGATTGAAATTATCTTCATTAAAGTAGAAGATATGATAAAAATTAACTTACTTTACAAATACCCCTCGTAGATAGAATAAAAATGAGACGATAGGCAACCTGGATTGCATGTGCTGCCGACCAGCTTGCCAGGTTGCTTTGTCAAGGTACTTTATACTACAGGTATGGACAAAAAGGGTGCCGAAGTGGCAAAGCTGAGAATATAGGCCATCGAGTGACGTCGCAAGTCATAGTCGTCGTGGTCAGCACTACACGTAAATCAGGTTGTATCAAATAAGCTGAAGGGGCGTCTTTACCTTGCTTTACTCCCCTAGCTGTCTTACCTCTCCCGCCTAAAGTCGGGCCTAGCGGGCGGTCTAGATTGTATTATAAGTCAATGTTTTGAAGGGGAAAAGCCAAATAAATACTCACTTGAGCAAAATATCATAAAGTTGAGGTACTAAAACTAGAACATCTGTTGCAGCATAGAGGATCATGTCTCGTGAAAGAGGTCGTCGAGCCCAATAACGCTGATCTCTTCGGTACACAGCTTTGAGTTGCTCTTTCAGGAAATTCTGCGGCACCTGGTACAGTTCGCAAAGTTTATTCAAGCTCACATTCTTCACTTTGTAGACTGGTTTACCAGTATGTTGAAGCTGAAGAACTGCATGAGCCGCCTGGAAAAAAGAGCAAACAAGACACAAATTTTAAAGCAATGTTTCGCTCTTGCAATTCTATTTTTTTTAACCTTAGATTGTAAATTTAAAGCTTCTAAAATAGAGCATATATTGCAAAATAGCTCCTTATTAAACTTGAAACAAATCTTTGAATTTTTTCCTTCTTTTAAGGTGTTAATCCTTAACTCTTGGTGTATACAGAGATTTTCCATTTGGATGAATTAAAAAAATACATTGTCAGTACTGCAACTTTAATTCTTTGTGTTCTACTGTAATGCACAAAAATTTGGAACCATTTCAAATTGTAAATTATCCTGCCTCCAGTTTTATAGAGCTAATTTTTTTCAGGAGCTACAATGACGAAAAGTTTTCTGTTCCATTCCATTGCTTTCTCAATAAACTGATTCCAGGGATATGTCATTCAATACTTATATCATCATTAAATTAGGCTGCCTTCAAAAAGCATGATAGAACGATCCATATCAAAACGATCAATTTGTTCTAGATGGAACCATAGAATGTAGTTATATGTTCAATATAGTTCAAAGTTTAACTGGTGGCTTTTAAAATGACAAGCTTAAACCGAATGATTGGTTTCAGATTGCAGTTAAAGCAGGTGAAGATGTAAGATGTCAAATTTTCGTGCTGTTTAATGACCCCCTCTGGGAACTGAAGTCTGTTCTGCAAATGTAGCACGCCAAGCAGAAAGGAACCAAGTCACATCAGCTACCTTTTGCCACATTTGATTGGGCACATTCAATTATTGACATGGAAAAGATTGTGCAGATTTCAGTGATTTCAGCAAATTACAGTGAATTTTGTGCATAGTATGAAGCAAATTTATTAAGATTTTCAAAGGAATTCGCACAAATGCTCTGGTGTAAAAAGTTAAATTGCCCAGTTAAAGGAGGAGTTGCGTTTTGGGCCTTTTCCGGCCCCACCTGGATTTTGCTAAATGTTTCATATTTTCAAAGTACTAGTTTTAGGTAGACTCTTTGCCAAATATTAGACCGAACGGAGCCCATGCAAGGGCGCAGCAGCGCCTCAAACCCAAAATCCTGGAATCGAAAAACAATTATTTTCGTCGACTTTTTCGACTGTTATCACTCTTCCAGCACATGATTCTTATGTATTTTTTTGCGTACTTTTCGTTTCTGGCCTTTTTAAAGGCCTCCGATAAAAGGGGCCTTATGGCCCATTGTTGCCATTTTGGCCCATTTTTAGGGGTTTTTTCCATTTAACACATTCAAAACTCAACTTAATCCAAAAACTGTGTACATTTTTGAAAAGTACGTAAAAAAATGAATAAAAAATGTTCAGTAAAATTTTTTCCTATGTTGCCAAATTTCCGAGAAAATTGGTCCCAAAGTGTCGAAAACGGCAAAAAATCGATAAATCGCCGCGTCTAAGGTTCAAGAAAGTGGAGTACATTTTTCATACTGTACCAGATAACAGCTCTTATCCATCCATACAACATACTAAAATATCATAGTTGTACCTGGATTCCCACGATGTGAAAATTGACCGAGATGTCGATTTTAGCGGCCTTTTTATACTTGAAGGCAGCTCTTTTGAATGTTTTTCGACCTTAGTCACCCTCTATGGGTGTGTACTATATGTATTTTTCTACGTACTTTTCATATCTGGCCATAAAAATGGCTTCCTGTGAGTTTTAAAAGGCCTAACGGTCCATTGTTGCCAATTTTCACCAATTTTTAGGGGTTTTTTCAAGTTTACGTGTGTGAAACTTAATTTAATCTAGAAACCGTGTACAATTTCGGAAAGAACGTAAAAAAATACATAGAAATGTGATTTGTACCTTTTCCCTACGTTGCCAAATTTTCGAGAAAAATCGTCCTGAAGCGTCAAAAATGCCAAAAATTGGATTAATCATCACGTCGGAGGTTCCAGGAAGTGAATTATGACATTCATGTGGATCGTGGGACACTTTCTCCACGCATTTTCTGTTCTTCGGTATATTTGGCCTGTAGCAAGCATCTTGAGAACCAAGGATTATCTCGAGGTTACAGGAATAAAGAGGTGAACTGGAGTGAAGGATAAAGTAAAAGCACCTTGAGGGCCCGTTTTGTCACGTTCATCTGCGCCATTACATGTTCCTTGAGATGCATTGCAATTTTCCATTTTCGATACGTTATTTGTAGTGAAAAAAAACTTGAAATTCACTTCCTGGAACCTCCGACGTGATGATTAATCCAATTTTTGGCATTTTTGACGCTTCAGGACGATTTTTCTCGAAAATTTGGCAACGTAGGGAAAAGGTACAAATCACATTTCTATGTATTTTTTTACGTTCTTTCCGAAATTGTACACGGTTTCTAGATTAAATTAAGTTTCACACACGTAAACTTGAAAAAACCCCTAAAAATTGGTGAAAATTGGCAACAATGGACCGTTAGGCCTTTTAAAACTCACAGGAAGCCATTTTTATGGCCAGATATGAAAAGTACGTAGAAAAATACATATAGTACACACCCATAGAGGGTGACTAAGGTCGAAAAACATTCAAAAGAGCTGCCTTCAAGTATAAAAAGGCCGCTAAAATCGACATCTCGGTCAATTTTCACATCGTGGGAATCCAGGTACAACTATGATATTTTAGTATGTTGTATGGATGGATAAGAGCTGTTATCTGGTACAGTATGAAAAATGTACTCCACTTTCTTGAACCTTAGACGCGGCGATTTATCGATTTTTTGCCGTTTTCGACACTTTGGGACCAATTTTCTCGGAAATTTGGCAACATAGGAAAAAATTTTACTGAACATTTTTTATTCATTTTTTTACGTACTTTTCAAAAATGTACACAGTTTTTGGATTAAGTTGAGTTTTGAATGTGTTAAATGGAAAAAACCCCTAAAAATGGGCCAAAAATGGCAACAATGGGCCATAAGGCCCCTTAAAATTTATCGGAGGCCTTTAAAAAGGCCAGAAACGAAAAGTACGCAAAAAAATACATAAGAATCATGTGCTGGAAGAGTGATAACAGTCGAAAAAGTCGACGAAAATAATTGTTTTTCGATTCCAGGATTTTGGGTTTGAGGCGCTGCTGCGCCCTTGCATGGGCTCCGTTCGGTCTAATATTTGGCAAAGAGTCTACCTAAAACTAGTACTTTGAAAATATGAAACATTTAGCAAAATCCAGGTGGGGCCGGAAAAGGCCCAAAACGCAACTCCTCCTTTGTCAATAGCCAATGTGACTTGGTTCCTTTCTGCTAAACGCAGTCTCAACGCTGCTGTTACTTAGTTCCCCAGATGAAGTCTCAGTAAAGTAAAAGGTACTCACTTGAGTGTCAAAAACATTCCTCAGAGTGATTCCGAACTGATAGTGAAGATTAGCACTATCATTTCTGCAGTCATGCATGACCTGGAATCATGGAGGACAGATATAAAATAAGAGGAGTGAAAAACCACTAACTAAGAATGAAATCTAAAGGCATTCCTCGAAACTCCCAGACTTGCTCTCTTGATTCAGCCTAGCGTTACCTTTAAAACATTCTGATTATGTATTTTGAATCACCTTTAGAGAGAAAATAAAATTCTCTCCACCCTCTTCGGTCCTTCCTATACAACCTTAATAGAACTTTAGGGTTGTCTAGCCAGGAATTGAATCAGGGACCTCCTGATCATGGAGCCAGAGAGATAACTACTACACTGTGGGAGGTCAATATATTAAGTAACTTATTTTGGAAAAATCGGAAAGTCTGTCTCCAGGTCAGTCATTACAGAATGTTTCTACCCAGAATCATCTTGATGTTTAGAATACAGTAGAGTATCGGTAGGAATTGGTTGAAAACTGTCTATTGAATTAATTTTAGACCTTTAAAGTTAGGTTGTATCTGAAATCATTCCATTACTTATTATTACTTTGGAGACGGACATTTTGGTTTTTGCAGGAAAATTTTCAGTAAGGCTAAATTCTACATTTTTATCAAAGTGGTGGTGATTTCAAGAACTAAAAATTGATAGTCTTCTTGAATCTTAACCTTAATAGATGGAGACTCAATAGCCACTGAGCTAGCTGGAGAATTGTAGGGCATGTTCAACTGAAAGTTGTTGAATCTCATCTCCCTATTAATTAAGTACACACTGAGGATATTTGACATCAATAATATTTGTTTGCACAAGGTAAGTTCCTTGATAAATAAAGGTTTTCATTACCAGGGAAGAAACTTACTTTGACGACAGACTCCGATTCAAGAAATGCCTGAAAACCTCCTTGCGTGATGATTTGAGGGCATGTGATCAAATCAAAAATATAGGCCTGCCCATTACTGAGGGAAACCTGGAGAAGTGACAGAGTCCCTTTGACTCCAAGATTGACTCCCTCACAATCAAATGCAACAACAGGGTTCGAGGATGCAGTTATGTCACTTAGAATTTGAGCACACTCTTTATGATTTGCAATAACTTTGGTTGACTGCAATATCTTGAATTTTTTCTCTTCCGTACTATGATTTGAGGAGTTGTTGTTTGCAGATGCATTGATGAAGTTTCGATCTTTGACAGTGTTATCTGCGAGCGTTTTCAGAACCAGTGAGTTGATTCTTTGCTTCAGTGTTTGGTTTTGTTTTGGAACTATGGGTGGAGTTTGCTCGGCAGTTTCCGGAGGCACTAAGGGAATGAAGTTTCCAGGACTGTTGACATTATTGATGACTGTTTCTTTCTTCGGAAGTGGTGAGTGATTTTGATTTCTGGCGGTAGAGTCATTCTTCTCATTTTTTAGTGGATTCACTAAAGTTATCAGGTTTGATTGGACGCTAAATATATTTGAGTGAATTCTGAAGAATGTCATTAAGTCTTGTGGTGTCTGAAACACGCATGACCATACCTCTGGGGAGTACTGCAATGTAACACTATGGAAGAGAGTGTCAATGAGCGATGGTCCTTTCGATTCGATACACTGTTTGAAAAACTGAATCAATTTGAAAGTGATTCTAGGATCTATATGAACTTCTTCAATTTCATGAAAAACTTGCTTCTCTTTGCCAATGTGTTCAGTTAATGTAACAGTCCCGTCGTTAATGACAAAGGTCTCAGGATAGCGGGCTAAAAATTCAATGAATTCCTTATCCCTAGTCCCTGAGATGTGTCTGACCTCAGGCGATGCTTGCGATCTATGACCATATAAACTTATGATTGGCACCTCTGTACCAACTCCATATTGCAGGAGTTTGTTCCTGAAATATTCCACAGCCTCCTGGGCGTAATCTCTCGGAGAATATTTGACATATGTGGGCGCTTGCTCTTCAGCATCATTGGCTGCAGATACTGCCAGTGAATCATACACAAACTCACCGTCAACCTTGAAAAGAGAAGGATACTGAGACAAGAATTTTTTCAGTCCAGACTGAGAGCCGCCAGCAATTTGCCGCATTTCTTTGGTGAACCCTTTGGCTCCGAATTGGCAGCTGAGATCGTGGAGAGTCCTGGGGCCACCTTTATCCAGCAGTCTTTCAAAAAAGAATAGCAGCGTCATGTTCCTCACCATTTCATACTCCGAACTATCCATCACAAAGAAAGAGGCCGCTAGTAAGTCGGAGAAATAGAATGAACTAACATGGGTTGATTGAAAAAATCTTATTATGCAGAGGCACTATGGAGTGAGGACTAATAGGTATATAATCACAGAATTCAAACATAAACAGAGAACATTAGATAAGAAATTGAACGGTGAAATAAAGATGATGATTAATACACTTGATACTGCCTAAGAGAATAAATAAAAATAAATAAAATTAAATAAAAAACACCATATCACTGAAGGTGTTACATCGCGCAGGTGTATCACAATCATCGGTCGACATTTGTTGACGTTGATGACGTCAAATTCGACCCCTCGCTCTCGAAAACTCGAATTTTAACTAGCAACGTTGTCAGAATAAATGCATTCAATTTAATGTCATCTAAAAACTAAATATGAATTTTAAAAATTTCTATTGCACTTGTCAACATGGATCAGAAATAAGCCACCACATGATTCCAAGGCCTTCTTCCAGTACTCAGTTGTCAAATAGGGCAAAGTCCAAAATTGCTACAATTAATGTGACGGACAACGCCGATTACGTTGAAAAGCCAATAATATAATAGTAGCCATAATTTAAAGTATTTTTTGGGAGGAAAATACACTCATGAAGCCGCCAAACATTAGCATTATCAAACAGAATTCCCTCCATAAAACCAATGGAAATTCGTAAAGAGGCAACAGTGCGTTGTAAAGAATGTGGGTAGATTCGATGTGTGCTGTAAGTGTGTCTGTGTGCGTGTGTGAGATTGTGGCGACTGGCGAAGTGGTATCAAGTCTAGTGCTAGTCAACTTTCTACTTTCACTGATAGATTGAAACTCTTGGCCCATTGCAGCTCGATCTTTCCTCAAGTGGTTTTTCGAAGTGGATTGTGTTTTGCGCGACGAACCTGCTGCATTCGACGTGTCATCCTTCCTCATCCTCATCCCATCAGTGTTGTTTTTGATTCGCGTCCGTTAGCCCTTATCTCTTCGCGTGCGCTGTGTTAGTGTGTTTACCCTGGAGCAAGTGAAGAGTATCTGATGATAAAAATCGGCGTAGCGATTACGTGATAAAAACCCAGCTCCGAGACACTGTCGCGAGTCACGCCCGTCGCCTTTCAGTTAATTTTCACCCTTAGCCTGTGTTTCGAACGCTCAAGTTTCTATCTCACACCGGCAATTTAACGTGCGTAGCTTGTAGGTATCACGTTATCGTTTTTCGGCACCTAACCGGTCGGTCCAAAGAAGTGTTTTAATTTTCTGCAATTTCATCGCACCGAAACTTTACGATGTCGAAGATCAAGGCAGGACCTGTTGTCGACATCCTGGGTGATGAGATGACAAGAATCATTTGGGACTTGATCAAGGAGAAGTTGATCCTCCCGTTCTTGGACATCGAGTTACATGTCTATGATCTGGGAATGGAATACCGTGACCAGACGGACGACAAAGTAACATTCGAGTGTGCTGAAGCTATCAAGAAGTACAACGTCGGTATCAAATGTGCAACTATTACTCCTGATGAGAACAGAGTGAAAGAATTCAACCTGAAGCAAATGTGGAAATCACCCAACGGTACCATCCGTAATATCCTGGGAGGCACAGTCTTCCGAGAAGCGATCATCTGCAAGAACATTCCACGCTTGGTCACTGGATGGGATAAGCCTATCATCATTGGGAGACATGCTTACGGCGACCAGTATAAAGCCACTGATTTCTTGGTCCCTGGTGCAGGCAAAGTAACCATGAAATGGACCTCAGCTGCTGGTGACAAAGAGTTAGAGTACACTGTCAACGATTATCCTGGTCCTGGAGTTGCGCTAGGTATGTTTAATTTAGACTCTTCTATCGTAGACTTTGCTCACTCATCTTTCAAATATGCTCTCGATAGAGGATATCCTATGTATCTCAGTACGAAAAACACTATCCTGAAAAAGTATGATGGTAGGTTCAAGGATATATTCCAAGAAATTTATGACAAAGAGTACAAGGGAGCCTATGAAAAGAAGGGAATCTGGTATGAGCACAGATTGATCGATGATATGGTTGCGTACGCTATGAAATCCGATGGTGGATTTGTGTGGGCATGCAAAAACTATGATGGTGATGTTCAGTCGGACTCTGTTGCTCAAGGGTATGGATCCTTAGGTCTTATGACATCTGTTCTGGTTTGTCCTGACGGAAAAACTGTTGAGGCTGAGGCTGCGCATGGAACAGTAACGCGCCATTATCGTCAGCATCAAAAAGGGCAAGAAACATCCACCAATCCTATTGCGTCCATCTTTGCTTGGACCAAGGGCCTTGAACATCGTGCCAAGCTGGATAATAATGAAGCACTGAAGAAGTTTGCTCATGCCCTTGAAGCAGTCTGTATTGAAACCATTGAATCTGGATTCATGACTAAAGATCTTGCCATTTGCATTAAAGGCATGAGCAATGTCACTCGCAAAGATTACTTGAATACGTTTGAATTCATGGACAAGTTAGCTGAGAATCTGCGAGCCAAATTAGCAGCGTGACTCCCTTTCCCTTCAAAACTATGAGCCCCATAACATTAGTCAAGTTGTGATGAAAGAACTGTATCCCTCTTGCTTCTGTAAATTTGTCTTTTTTTAAAAAAAATTTTCAACTTGCTCTAAAATTTTGATTTCAACCCGTATCTACTCTACCGTACAAGCAGTATTTTTAAGTTTAGCTCATTACCAAAGTATTTGATACCACCTTGGCTCATTGTTTTCAAAAATGTAACTCAAATATTGAGAACCTCTTTATTAGATTCATCATAGATGTCTGAATCAAAAATTAAATTCACCTTTCATTCGGAAAAAGTTTAGAATTAAGGGTGCTGAATGGGTAAGGAATATACTTTTTTGGACCGTAAGCGAGCTGTTCAGATGGGATCCCTAATACATTTTAAATATTCAGTAGTCAATTGCTAGTGAACCAACCACAATTAGAGTACATGATTCTGAATTAAAAAAGAATCTTTTTTATCAACAACAAGGAAATCATTTGAAATTTCGGTTCTTGAGTAGGTATTTTAATGAACATTCAATAGAAGACTGACAGTACTAGGAATACATTTTAGAATTACTATTTTAATGCTCATTTTCTTTAGTTCGTATGACATAACATGCATGAAAAACCCTGGCTTCTATCAGGAAGTACATTATTAGATATCAACTTGTTTCTCTTCTTTTTTTTTCATTCAGGAATTTGTGATTGTGGGGAACTTTATTATAATGTCCCGTCTTTCATTTTTTTCTAAATTTGCACATTGATACCTACAACAATCCTACCAGAAACAGCATTTTATTTTACTTTTTTTAATCATTGACACAGTTTTCACTGTTGTCATTCCACAGTTTTCTATTGTTTTGAGAAGAGGAGAATACTGGAAACCAAAAGTGGCAAATCTGGAATGAGTCATTGTCATAATTGTCTTCCTGAATATCTGATTTATGTATTTAGGAATTTGAAATGGTCCTAGAACCTTAAGTCCTGACTTTTTCTACATTGTCAGTTCGAGACATCTGTAAGTGTCTATCCGCCATTGTTGATTATCCATTTTATATTATTTTATAAGTTTTACATTTTTTATGGTTGTGTAATTAATATCTTTTATTTTTTCAATTCAAGCAAGCTCTTGCATTGGTATTTTAATTATTATTGCATATTGCACTGAGCTGTGGCATTGCTTTTTCTTTGTGAATCAAAATTAACTTTTTTTTTACTCAATATGAATAAAAATTAAGTTCCACTACATAGGTACGCGTAAGTTGATCAATTTTATCTCCTAATCAAATTGTTATACGTCCTTGTTATTTTGAGCTACTTTCATCCAAAAAGGAGTACTGAAAGCTGAAGAACACTTTTAAAATGTGTCAATATTTATTCAAACTTTACTAAAAGCTGACCAAAGAATACAAATAATGCAAGTTTGCATTTCAACATTAAAAAAACTCAAAAAAAGTTTCTACCTTGTGCATTCAAAGAATTTAATTTTTTTTTATTAGTATCAAGCGAGCTTTCCCAATGAAAATATACACTTTGTTTCTAAAGAATAAGTAAAAGTGAAAATACAAACAACCGAGAAGTTTGTAACTTATCTAAGCACAAAAACTATAAAAAATATAAGATTATTGGTTCAAACCGAGGGGCTGACCAGTTCCCACGGCTTCATCCTTTTGAGGCGTCTGAGCTCATTGGAATTGTCTAAAAGTTGTATTGCCTCAATATTAGGGTGTAGATGGAGAAGTTTCTCGTAGTTTGTTGCAACCTTTGTTATAAAAAAAAAAAAAAAAGAATTTAATCTGAAACATTTCTTATTACTCACTTTAAATTGGCAAGACTTGCTGGTAAAAAATCACAAATGGTGCTATGAATTTACTGTCTTAACTCTTCTGAAAATCAATTTTAAGTCATTTTTAATTGCAGGTGATCTCCAAGACAAATTCATTTTGTTTGAAAGATTGGTAAAGAAACTGCATGTGAAAACAATAAGTATTGTAGAAATCAATACTCAATAACCTATTTACTTTGTTTTAAACTTTTAATTAGCTACCTTTATCTCTGGCACAGTCCAGTTCAATTAGGAAAGAGAAGGAAATTTGCTTTAAATTACTTACAATTTGTAGACAATCTCTGTAGCTTTTCCAAAGAAGAATTATAATTGAATTGTGTTATTAAAGGCAGAAGAAGGAAGACGGAAGAGAGAGAATTTGCACAAGTAGACTGTTTTTACTCTTGATTCGTTTCAAATAGCAGTGGTCAAAATAATCAGAATGAAGCATATCTCACTCACCATAGGAGACGGGAGGAAATAAAGTCAAGCCAAAGCTGGGGGAAATGAGACCTGGAGGACAAGGTGCTCAAGTACAGGTTTTCGAAAAATTGAGGTAGGTATTGATGATTTCAACTGAAAGTAGTCTTAAAGTATACTCTGTGAAACAATCAATATCAAAATCCAATTTTTAAGCATAAATGAATGATTTTGAACTCTAACTCCGCCGTACGGCTCCTTGTAATTTTGAAACTTTAAACATGTAAGTAGTTATTTTTGAACTAGCAAAACTACAAGTATCTCCCTTGTCGTCTAAGCCCCTCAAATAAGAGCTTCTTGTCGAATATCTTAGGAATATTACTAATTCAGTATCATGCATGGGAGCGTTCATAAATGGATTGCATTTTGCAAAAAGGAACCATGGAGCATTGTCATGTTGCGAAGATAGTGCAACTCCACTCATATCAATACAACTATACTGTAATCATGCAAATACAGGGTGTTCCAAAAGTCCAGCCCCCCCCCCCTCTAACTTTTGAACGGTTCAAGATAGAAAAATGAAACTTCGGGAATGTTCCTACCTCAAATGGGACCATATTTTTTAGGGGGGGGGGGGAGGGAGGGTCAAAATTTTGGTCCCCCTCGAGGGGCGGGGGCCCCCAACTTTTTTTCTTTCAAATGGCAACCCCTATCTTGTGATATCTCGTTCGAAATAGCATAAAAAACTAAGAATTTTGGCGCCAACCGCAGATTAATAACTTAATTTTTGATCGAGTTATGATTAGTCAAAGGCCCCTATCTTGTGATATCTCGTTCGAAAGAGCATAAAAAACTAAGAATTTTGGCGCCAACCGCAGATTAATAACTTAATTTTTGATCGAGTTATGATTAGTCAAAGGTCAAAGACCTATTCTCAGAAAATCATAACTCCGGTTCAAATTATCGTAAAGAAAAAATAATACGGGAAAATTTACCAAATTGTGTTCGCTTTTAAGTAAACTTTGCAGAAATCACTCCATTTATATATATCATTAATATAAACTTCGAAGGATTCAGACTTTCAACGATTCTGCCTTTTTCTATTTCACTCGAGAGGTTGCCAGATCGTCCGATAAATGTGAATATTTTACATGGATTTGAATTGAGACAAGTGCTCAGAAAGCAACTTATCTGGCAACAATAGAGTCCGGAGAGGACGAGAGGCTGCCTTCCTAGAAAAACCCATGATTTAGCCGGAAATGCCATTAAAACAATTGATTCCGTTTGAAGCATCAAATTGTATAAGATTTTTTAAACAAATATCATGAAAATATGAATTATATGTACCTACGCTGAGGCGACAAAAAAGTGCCGCGGAGCGCCTTCAAGGGGATTTGGCCGCGTAGCGGCCAGGGGGCGTATATAGCCCCCTAGTACCTATCTAATATCTAATCTATATTATACAGCTACAAGCAAAATCTTGGGAGCGCTATTTCCGACGAACTGACGGACGATAAGGATGATCTTTACATGTAGGTATGTCATCTGTAGTAGATGTAGATGTGCAAAAAATTATGAAACCTCGAGCTTTTAATGTTGTAGAGCTTTTAAAGCTCATGTCACTTGAGTCTAATGTTAATAGCGTGAGAGATATGTCGTTTCCGCTAGAAACGTAAAGGTGTGGGATTCTACCTGAGTGACTCGAGTAAACAATAAAACAATGGAAAAGCTCGTGAAGGGCTCCTCATTCGAAGAGTTGAGGAACGGTGCATCGCTCAGGGTTCAAGCTGTCCAAGGTATAAGGTTTTTACTCAATTTTTCCTCATTCTTCCGGCTTCGATTTGTGGCATTGGTCAATTTACTTGATTGCTGAATTTCTATTAATATTTACAGCAGATAAACAGCAGATACAAAGTGAGAAGGCAGGCGCTGCGTCTATTAACTCTTAACGGTCGAAATCCGATTTTTTTTTTAAATTAAATATTTTAAACTAACATAATAAATGGAAATTTCTCCAGTAAGTGGACGGTGAAATTATGTACATCCAGCTATTCCTCATCATTTACAAATCTGAGTGTTATGTCAAAAATTTTGAAATCGTTGCAGCTCGAACAAAAAATAATGTATTAAAATGGAAGAACATTTTTGCCTATACATAGGTATGCGTATAGGGCCCGCGAAGCGGGCCTGAGGGCGCGAGGCGCCCTCTCGGGGGTTGGGCCGCGTAGCGGTCAGGGGGCAGGGCCCCCTAGTATATATATAAAATTGTAATATACGGAATATTTATCTATTTATTCTACAGGAGAGCTAAACATATTTCTGATTGAAATTCTCTGAAATTAGGTATACGGTAAATTGAGAGCAAAATTGTCTGCAAAACTTGAAGAAAAATAGTTACAAATTTTCCCAACGGACTCGAGTTTTACCAAAGGAAATTTGGCAAGGCCTGAGGTTTCATGCGGCGTTCATCTTTTTGTTAGACACGACAGCATAGAGAGCGCTCATAAATTACGTAACGCTCCATGGGGGAAGGGGGGAGAGCGTTACGCCATTTTGTGTTTACGCCTCGAAGGATAGGGACCTACGTCGAAGGACAAGTCTTACATGGGGGAAGGGAGCTCAAAAATTCCGAAAATGTGCGTTACGTAGTTTGGATTGCATTTTACAAAAAGGAGCCAAAAGCTCATTGCAATGTTTCCAAAGAAAAACCTGATCATAGATGAACATTTTCTATTTTACACGCTAGAAGCATGTAAATTTAAGACAAAAATTACCAAGTAGGTTCCATATACAGAGTGTTCCAAAAGTGCAGTCCCCCTCCCCCCATAGAGTGGGAATCGACAAAACCGAATGTTGCACGGTCTTAAATGGTTCTATGTGATAAAAAAAAAAAAAAAAAAAACACGTTAGCCAAGAGATTTTGAGAAAAAAAAAAAAAATTTAATCCGGCGCGCACAGAGCCAACACATCGAGATTTTTCCGGTTTTTTTGCATTTTCGCCGTATATTTTGGATATTTTTGCCAGCAACACGGATTTGACGCTACATGTCCAAAAATTGGTACAAACCTAGCACATACCTTGCAGATTAAGGGAAATTTCTTAATTTTCTCCTAGGCCACTCCCACTTCGCTTGGTAATGCCGAAACTCTCCGCTCGGCACAGGACCGGATTCAGGGGGTGGCCACATGGGTCGCGGCCCATGGCGGCAAATTTTGCAATTTTTTTAAAATGTAGGTATAAAAAAATCGGATTCCGAAAAAAAAAAAAAATACAAACGAGAGAAGGCGACAAAATCTCTCATTTCCTGAGAGTATCCTTCCTAATATATAATGCCGTAAGCCCGATTTCTGTTTCGAAATTGCGCCGCGACCGTCGTGCCGATCCGGGCGTCGGAGGTGCCGGCGGGACCGTCCCGGGCGTCGGAGGTGCCGGCGGGACCGTCCAGGTCCCGCGGGGTCGGGAAAAATGCGGGGATCGCGCGTCCGTCGGGAGATGCGCGGTTTTTCCTTTTTCCCGTGCTGTTCGTTCTCGGTCAGCTGATGACTCGGCTGCCCGAGGCGTTCGTCGTCATGGATATTCGTCGTTTATGAAGAATTCCGATTTTTTCGTCCAGTGCGCGTCGTCTTTTGAATTTTGTTAATATTTGTCGTGTATGAAGAATCCCGAATTTTTAGTAAAGTGCGCGTATTCGTTTTAATATTGGGAATGGATCGGAGTCGAAAACGTGGGCGCCCGGCGAAGCGTGGCAATGTTTCTCGCAATTCATCCGCGCGACGCAAAGTGCGGCATGATGGCTATCTCAGTGAGATGGATAATGTACGACGTAGGGGTGAACAGGGAAATAACCTCAATTCATTTCGGCAGAGCCCTGATAATTTTATCGAAAATGATTATCCGGAAAATAATTTCGGACTTTTAAATGTGAAGTTCCAGTATTGTGATGGAAAAGTTATTGAAATTTTATTTTTCCATCGAGAAGCTGGTCACTATAAAACTTAAATTCT